TCTTGGGGCCTTCAAAGTATTTGAAGGCTTCAATATCTGAGACCTAGGTGAGAGATTATTCTAAGAGGGGAGGGTGAGATTCTGTGGCCTGCACTGTGCAGGGGGTCAGACTAGATGATCATAATGGTCCCTTCTGACCTTAAAGTCTATGAGTCTATATTTGGCACAAAGAATTCTTCTTTAACTTCAAACCATCTGGCTTTCTGCAGGTGCAGTGAAATACCTAGAATGCTCAGCACTTACACAGCGTGGCCTCAAGACAGTGTTTGATGAAGCTATTCGAGCAGTTCTTTGCCCCCCTCCTGTAAAGAAGAGGAAGAGAAAATGTCTGTTGCTGTAGATGTTACCCTACCCTACCCCACCTCCACTCTGAACCTTGTGTGCTTTGCTCAGAACAAGGGAGCATTCACATTCAATGCCAATTTTTTCTGTTATAAATTAGTTCTCTTCCATAAAAATTTTGAACTTGTCAGCGATTTCATGGTTAATTTGTTTAATGTATGAGAAATGCTTTTCAAATTCTACTAAAAGTGAAATCCTAAATAAGACAAACCTATGTAAAGCCTTATTTTTAAAGTCCTATTCTTGCTCAGATAAAGTGTTGCCAAACTATCTACTGAATTAAGTTGCATTGTGCTATCAACACTAAGCACTAACTATTTTTAAGACTGTCTTTAAGATGACTCTAATGGCTGTAGGAAATGCAAAACGCTCTAGTTTTTCACAGATATGTAACAGTACGATATCCTTAGGAAAACGTTGCAGTCTAATGAATTAAACATTTTCTCAACCCGTGGTTGTTATATAGCATTGTACATCAATCTTAAATGATTAAGATAATTGACTATGACTGACAACCTTAGTCAGAGTTTTAAAAAATGCTTTATCACTGGTAAGGGCTCAGTTATGATCTAGTTCTTGCTGCTGTGATTAAAAATATTCATACCTAAGTGTATGTCCTCCCCTTGACAGCATTGTATTGTGATGGGTACGTGAAACACATCTGGTTTGATCAAGTGATATTGCCAGACAGTATTTTGACATTGTACAGACCAATTTACACTACATTGTCAACTGAGTGGTTAAGATGACTAGATTTTTGTCACAGGTAAAACCAGTAACAGTAATTTAACTTGTCACAAATATGCAGTAAGTAAAGAAGTTGGTGTTTATAGGTAAATTTGGAATTTATTTTCAAGTAGGGCATTCATTTAACACAACTCTGAACTGGTCATTCCCACAGATGTTATACTTAGGAATGCTTTTCTTGTAGAATTTCTTATTGAGCAATATAACTTGTATTTTAAAACCTTTCTGATATATTAGCATTTTGTGTTTTGTAGATTAGAAAGTGTAAGCATATCCTTATTTTCTGATTACTTCCGACCCAGTAAGTTACGTGCTTTCTGAGGAGCTTTCTTTAGTTTTCTAGTCATTAGATGTAAAAATCATGTGAAACAGCTTTACAAGTTTTAGTAATTTTTATACTGTAGACCTTCTTAAAAGATGAACCTTGTCAAACATCATTTTGTCAGGTACCCCAACACTAACATTACTAATGCTGACAGTTGTCCCTTTAGCTCACCTACGTGTGCATCACATTGATTTATCTGGTAATGGTAACTTGGGTCTGTGAGGTTCTGTAACTTAGTGCTAACAATGTTCTGTACATTCTAAACACTGGCAAGAATACAATGTTGAACTACACCCTTTCAACCACTAGAACAAAATTTAAAAATCAAGTTGCAAAATTGTGAAGTTTTTACATTGATCTTTTGCTAATGAAGTTAGCAGTATGTTTTGCATGTATGACTTAATAAATTCTTGAATCATATAATTGGTAATGCTTGCATTTTTGTCTAGATGTTCTTAACTCTTTATTGCAGAAATGTGTGCGCTTGCCATTTATAGCAGAATCATAGTGGTTTGGAATTGCCTTTGTTTGAGTAATATGTAAGTACATGCTCTTCACAACAAGTGAATTACAGTTTACTGGTTCTTATGGGATTAGGGATAAAGAAAATTTATCGGGCTAGTGACCAGAGAACTAGTACTGAAAGAAATGTACTAGCCCTGACATTTTTTTCTTGTTTGTAGGATGCACTACTTTGAGCGTTCAAATAAAATTGCATTTGTTTTACTACCTTGGTTTGATCCCTATGTCAGATGTGATAGAAAGCTAAGGAGCTACTAGTATATCTCAAGCTCCCAGTGGTGGCAAATTAATGTTTCGGTGATTTAAAAACTGGAATGTGTTGTATAGAATAACAATCTTATCCTTTTGACCTTTCAAACTCCTTTATTGAGAGGCCTGAGTTTGTGTAGGCTCGAGCAAAACTAAGCTGCCTCAGCCCTTTCTCACTGCTAATGGGAGGATGGCCCTTATCTAGGATGACCAGATGTCCTGTTTTAAAAGGACAGTCCTGCACTTTAGCCCACTTACACATGTCCCTCCTTTTTCTTAAAAATGGGCAATTTGTCCTGTATTTTCTCTCCCCTCCTACTGTACTGGTGGGTCCAACTGCTGGCCAGATCCCTGCTTGTCACAGGGATGAATGGTGGGGATTCACTGACTGATGTGGGGGGTGCAAGACTGGTGATCAGGCAAAGCTGCAGTCTCTGTGGCCAGCTGCTCCCTTTGATGGTTCATCAGTGCAGTGCCTGCTGTGTGCCTCCTCTTGGCCAGCAGGCCTCTCACCTCCTGTCCCATTTCCAGCCAGCACTAGCACTCAATCACTGCAGTAAGTAGCAGGCTGGCAGTGACTGGTTGCATGTTGCCTCTGCTACCTATCCCTCAGACCTTGCTCATCCTCTCCCTGATGTGCCCCTTAACCTCCCTTGCTCCATTGTTCTTCCATATACCCATCTGCAGGGTGTGTCCTGCTCCCAGCACTGAGTGAAGAACCAGCCTCGGATCCCAAATCATTCAATTCGCCTCGTTCCCTGCTCTTTGAGAGCGACAGTTGCACATGTCTCACCTCTCCCCAGGCACATTTTAAAAGCTAAGGTGAATAAAGACTCCCAACTACTCTATTTCTTTGTAACAAGGGCTCACTCAACTTTATGCTAACTTTAATATTTGTACTACATAGTTCTGATTGACAGCTGCTAAAATTACTTGTATTCAAGTAAGTTTATGGAGGTGTCCTGTATTCAGCATGGAGACACATAGACCAGCCCCTCTACTTTGATCATTCTTTGTTTAGTCACATTCAGCATCACTCACTGGGATGACATCATTCCTGTTTGAAACCACTTGCTGTGTACGGTTTCCTTTTTCTGCTCTTCATTTCCCTTGTTGCAGCTATTTTCAGTTCTCACATTATATACTTAAATTTGTCAGAAACCAAATCAAGTAGGAGTAAGTGGCAATTACAGTTGCCAGCATGAGCATTATATAGACTATGTACCACTAAGACTAATGGGGAGGGCTTTCAAGAGTGAGCCAACACTAACAACATTCCTTAAGCAAGGTAAGTATGATGTAAATTCTCTAGTCCTGGTCTACACTAGGACCATAATCTACAATATCCCAATCTCTTGTGTTTGGCTGCTTTTCACAAGGTGTGATGTTAATTCCAAAATAGTAATTTTGAAATAACTAGCATGGATGCTCCAGTGCTAATTTGAGCATACTGGCTTCCAAGAGGCTTCCTGCAGCTCTCCAGAGTGCTTCCCAGGGCTCTAAGCCTGAAGTAGCACATCCATGTTAACGGAGCCTGTCGGACTAATTTCAATGCTTCCCCATAGTGAGGAGGTGCTAGTTCCAATTTGTTAAAACGGCATTAAGTCAAATTTAGTAATTTGAAATAGTTTCCTACTATAGACATGGCTGTAGAGGGCTGGAAGCATTTTTAATGAGAAGCTTATGTTTTGTAGAAGCTGACTGTTCCATTTGAACCTCAGAAGTCTCACCAATCTGCCTTAGGTATACTAAAGCAAAGCATGTCTCAAGCTCACTAACCAAGAGTGACTAAGCTACACTTCATTTTACTTTGCCCACTGTACAGGGACCTGAATTTGGATCTCTTGCATCCCCAATGTAGTTACTAATCCACACTGTCTCTTAATCTGTCCTCTTGGACCTTTTCTACACTATACACAACTCTAGGCTACATCTACACTGGCATGATTTTGCACAAATACTTTTAATGGAAAAACTTTTCCATTAAAAGTATTTGTGCAAGAGTGTGTCTATACTGGCAAAAGATTTGCTTTTGCGCAAAAGCATCTGTGCCCGTGTAGACGCTCTTGAGCAAGAAAACTCCAATAGCCATTTTAGCCATCGAGCTTTCTTGCACAAGAAATTGATGTTACCAGTTTATACTGGCTGCTTGTGCAAGAGGACTTATCCTTGAGCAAGAGCATCAGCATAAAATCTTTTGCACAATGTAGACACAGCCCTAGTGTGCAATGACTGTAGGAGATGCAGGTACTTGAATTCATAACTTCCACAAAGTGCCTTTCCTAACCATTAGCTTGGCCAGTAGAGGTCAGCAATGTTCCCTCTTCACCCACCTACAGAGTACATTTTGTTTTGTGCATGAGCCACATACAGATGTGCACCACCAACAAAAACACAGGCTGCTAAGCAGCATTTCAAGCACTCAGCTTACCAGGAACCCTGGACATCAGCTTCCTGATTTTTCATAAAACAGTGTTAGGTTTGACCCAATGCACAATAGGAAAAAACATCTAGATGTACTGTTTAGAATGCCACTGGTCACAAAGTAGGTACAGCTCCTATTAATTTTTACAAGTAGGGATTAAATTTTACATCAAAGAACCTGACTCAGAATTAATGACACTTATGACACATCTAAATGACAAGTTAGTGTGGCATATAGAGCTACAGCACCCAAGTGTGCCATCCACTGGAAGTCCCCTAGTGCACAAGTGAGGGGCTTGTCTTGGTTGTGTAAATCATCATACTTGGTACTTAAACTGGTCACTACAGAACAAGCCACAAACCCTATTGCTTGTTACATACAACCTCTGAGCACTTTCAAGTAGACATTTTATTGCACCTTATCAAAACAAACTTTACTACTCCAATACACACACAGGCTACATTTCTTCTTAAAAAATACAGTAAGGGACTGTCAAGCAAAATATGGTTTTTTACAAAAAGATCACTTGCTCTGTACAAAGCAACCAAGTTTAATCAGACATTCACCATTATGAACAATTTAAAAGGTAGAGTTGTGAAATTGGTACATACAAAGTTTTCTTAGACACTCCAATGGAATCAAATGTGTGGAAGGTAAGAGTCAGAAGGTCATTAGTCTCAGGTGTAGTGAGCACACAATGGTCCATTCCCCTTAAGAATTTCTTTTGCCATTATTCCCCCATTGTGGAGTTAAATGCATAAAATCAGATACAAAAATATTGCACATGTATCCAAGCAGCATTGTTATAATTATGTAATGTTTGGATTACTTGATTGCCATGAAATAAGATGCCTTCTGAAAATACCTGCGGTAACTAGTGCATATTAAGAGTGGCTATTGAAACAAAATAGAAAGTTTTTTAACCCTCTCTTCATACTAGATTTACAATTTCTTCATTTGCTACTAGGAATGCCCATTTCCTACTATTGTGCTTTTGCATAGCACCTTTCAAACATGAATCTCAGTGCTTAGCAAAGAGGGGTTAATACTCTCATTTTACTGATGTGAAACAGAGGCACGAAGTTAGTTAAGTGACATTCTCAAGGTAACAGTAAGTCTGTTGCAGACCTGAAATTAGCATTTAGGTGTTATGGTTCCTCTGCTCTAGTTCAATCTTCTTAGGAGTTGTGTTCTTGGTTTAACAGAATCGTTCCAACTATCAAATAAAAGGTACAGTAATTTACATGTAACTGGCTAAGACTGTGCTCACTGTTTCATTTCGAGAAAGCTCCTATCTGCTTCTGTTTCATTTTAACCATCTTAATTACAGTTAGCCAGTAATGTTTAATTCTGAAGAACCTCTGCAAAGTAAAATGAATTTTGCATTATGACAGTGACCAAGACACCCCCTCCTTCCCAGTTTCTATTTTAGGCATGTTAAAAAACACAAACAAACAAAATCCCACACCACCACTTAAGTCTGAGGTTAAAGGCTCCTGAACACTTGAAGCCTAAAGAAAAAAAAAAGTTCTTAGACCTCTAGCTATACTATGTTGGTGTGAAAGTCTCCATCTGTTTGACACGTAACACAAGATGCTTTTTCCTCAGTCAAGTTGTTCAGGGCTTTCAGCACAACATCTGGCATGTGATCGGTTACCATCTTGGGACTTATTAAAATATTGCTAAAGGCGGTTTCTTTTGACCATCTTGCAGTATATTTGACATCAGAAGAACACCACCTAAAAAGACAAATATTTCTATAAAGCCTTTTAGACATTCAGAATATCATGAAGTTTGATTGTCCACTATCCAATGCAAATCTCTAAAATCCACATGTCTGCCTTGGAAAGCATATTGGTCATACATTTAAACCTTTGCTTATATCATTTAATAATCTACAAAACTTTACTCAGTTACCACTAATAATTTTACATAATTAGAAAAATACACAGGCTTAAACACACAAAATACTGTATTGGCCTACTCTGCTCCCATTGGTATCAATGGTTAAACAACTTCACAGATTGGAAACTAATTTGAGAGCTTCTCCTATTTCCCACATTCTTATCTTGAGTTACCGGTCCAGTTCTAGTGCAACATTTGTGCAGATAAACTGAAAGACTATATAATCAAATGGCATTTCAGTTAATGATGAACACATTATCTAGCTAATAATTTTGTCCATATTACTCATCAATATAAAACTAGACCAATATTGTCATTTTCTGCATTAGAACATTTCTAGAAGAGCCCCTTTTTAAAATGTTTTTTTTAGCTATATATCAAAATAACGTATGAGGCTACATGTGCTGGACAAAGAAATGGTGTGTTATTTACTGATTACTGTTATGTTATGGGTGCTTCCTGCTAATTACTAATATCCAATACAGTATTAATGTAATTAGCTGTATTACATGTATCTCAAACTGAACTGAGGAGGAAGAGCAGGGAGTTTATTAATCCAGGCAATGGATATTAATTACCCACTCACTCAACTGGGAATACCGGTGGTTTATTGCAATGCTGAAAATTGCTAAAAACCATTCAAAATGAATGTGAAAGAAGAAAGTGGACTGTTAAACTGCTGTAAGGAAAGTGCTTTAAAAGAGTTTGGCCTGTCCTCTCTCCTTCATTTTCCTCCTCCTTACTCTTTGGTCAAGAAGGACACTCTTCTCAATCATCCCATCTTTTTGTGTCTGTTTCAAAACAGAATTTTGAGGGGTTGGACAAAGGAAGGAATTTTGCTGGCTCAGAGTAGAAAATGAGGAAGAAGGGAAGAGATTTTTTTTAACCCCTTAAAAATGCTTCTCCTTTTGGAAGCTTCTATCATAACCGCATTTTCTTTGCTGTTTGATCATGTCTTCTTCCTCCCTTGAATTGAAGCAGGAAGGTTCTTGCTGGACCAGTTTGAGAATTCCAAGTACAAGAGTCAGAAGCAGAGAGATTTGCATGTTCAGGCTACAGTTATTGTGGCAAGTATATAATAGAAATGACAGTACTACATCATTAATCTGACTGTACCATGGCTGAGACAAGCCCATTTCAGTATAATGGACAATATTACACCATCTTTGACAATAGCTATGTGCTCATTCAAAAAACAACGTCACAGTAACGTGTAACAAAGCAATCAGCAGCACCATTACAGCACCTACATACTTTGTGATGCCTTATATGGTGCTGTGTGGTAGGCATCCTTGAAACATGTAACTAGTACCTGTCCTGGCTATTTTATAGTTTAAAGATGTAGAATAGCTTTTGGTCATTACAGCTGCAATGTTAATAGACCGTATTCAATGAACAGGAAAAAGAAAAAGGAGGCTGTTTTGAGGGTGAGGGTAAAAAGAAGCATTGAGTCAGAAGTAGGTAAAAGAAACAAGGAATGAACATTAGAGAAGACTGGATACAACAGAGAATATGAATATGGAGAAGATTAGAGCAGACACACCAAAACTCCTGCCTTTAATTCTAAGGTGAAAAGAAGCTTGAACTTAATTCAATGAAGCATAATGCTGATAATTTACCTTTTTGAGCTGGTTTCTTCTACAATATGGATGATTTTTCCAGGGAGATAAAGATGAGGATACCGGGGTGGTGCATTTAGAGGAGATTCATCCCCAAGGGCACTGTAAGAAGGTGACCGATGCATCATTAAACTCTCTTCAGCTAGAAGAGGCTGGGTTAGGGTATTGTGACTTCTACCATCTAACTCAGTTGGAAAGTTATCTGGACCTCCTCCAAACACTTCATACCAACACCCATGCAGCAGGATCTGGTACTGAGTTCAGAGAGAAAGAGGCAGAATACAAAATGTTGATGTTTATTTTCAAAGTAGTATAATTTAATTTGACAAACACAAAATGTAAGGTGTCTCTACCCAAGTTTCTACAGAGTAATTACAGACACTTTTTGGTAGACGGTGCTTTTAAGTAAGGCCAATTCAGAGGGAAATGTCTCCAACTCTGAATAATTAAGCTTCTTTTTTTGTCTAGTTTTATTCAACTTGAAGTCTTCTCCTCCATCCAAAACCTCTATATGCCTATCAGCTGCTTAAACTTCAACTCTCCACAGGGGGCCACCACAGGGTTGCTAATTCTGGAAGTACACATCTTCTAGAAAAACCATTTGAAGATTATATTATTTAACTTCAGGCATCAACAGATGGCAGTTTTTAATTGTTAACCCACTCCTCGCAATACCAGTTATGTTCTTGACAACATGTTCAAGCCTCCAAGAGGATCACTCTAACACCCCATCCAACATGCAGACTCTCTCTAATGACAAACGCTCTTGAGGATATAAGCATTCCTCCTTTTGGAACTCTGCCTGGGTTTCCTCGATGTATAATAAGGGCTGATGGTACAGCCAGATAAAACCTCTGCTGGTGATGTGGAGAAGGAGCACCTACTACGAAACTCCTACTCTTTTGATCCCAGAAGATAGGACCAAAACTGGCCTACTGGGCCAAAGTGGAGTGCTCCATCTTTGATCTATCAATCACTCCTTAATCAGCTGCAGGGATCACTATGAGCAACACCCGAGGACACCAACCCATTAAACACTTTGCACACTCCTACTCTCTGCATACTCCTAGATCCTTCTAGCCAACATAGCAACAAATTGGGATGGTAAATAAACAATGCTACCCAGCAAGAGAGCCTCCACTAGGCCTCCTTGATTGCAGCCTATCATGTTTTTTCTCACTAATACTAACCCCAAAAACTAGACAATACAATTGAGATTATTTTCAGTGTCTTTTTTAAGGCAACAAAGAGATTTTAAACCAATTCCCTATTTTTGTAAGTAATAATAATTTACAAAAACTAACAATTTAAAAATCATATTGATTTGTCACTTTGTTACCTTTGGCCTGGTACAATTGGCAACTATTCTTACTATCCTTCTCTTCAGGTCTTCCATGTTGGGCATGCTTAACCTGTTTAACATACAAACCAAAGTCAAAAGAAGCTTCTTGGGCCAGCCAACTGCTGGAGAATAGCTATCGCTGAATAAAAACCAAGTAATTGTCCATCTTAAGTCATATCCTTACCTTGCAACAAGGTCCTTTCCAAGAATGACTGACACAATGAAGCATTTAGAGTAGTCTGCAAGTGATTTGCTACAAAATAAATAAAAATGTGCATATGAAGTTTTGCTAGGACCTCTATTGTATAATAATATATTGCTAAAAACTCAAGTTATTTTACTGGACTTTATTCTGGAGCTAATGTTTTAAGACTAATTCAAGAGTGGACTATACTAAACCCCTTTACACATGCTAATAAGTAGGGATGAACAAGAGGACTTATTTTGGTCCCTTAGAATCATTGAAATTTAGGATTGTATGTTGAACAGGTCAAGATTAGTCAAAGATTTGGTGTGAAGCACGTACTTACACTGTTAAAAATGAATTTGCTAACAGAATTAACAAAGTATTTCAACAGAAGGGACCATTACAAATTTGCCAGAGAATTTTATTTTATAAATAAGCTAAAACAAGTTACAGCCACCATCTACAAAGGCAAATCCAATAGTCAGAACAAGATAAACCTGTTCAAGTTTAACATATTTAAGCTTAAAACCACTACAGCTTATGTCAGAAGGAGATGAGCTAAATCCATCTTTGAAGAAACTCCACTCAGACATACCAGGAATACATTTGGGCAAATATCTCAATTATTTCTGTATTAGTGTATCTTTCACTTAAAACCAGGTATTGTTTTACCTCAACAATCCTCCTGGAGGAGAAAAGGCATAACATCTTAATGTTGGGAAGGACTTTCTGAGCATGATGGCCAATATGGAAGCTGTTCCAGCACCTAAACTATGACCGACTATAACTAGTTTATATTCCTAAAGACAAAAACAGAAGAGTCATATGGTGAGAATGAAAGACAGCGTGCATTCACTTTAGTTTCCAATGCAACTAAAGTGTTTTGTTAGAAACACTGCTAACAAGAGTGAATAATTTAGGAGTCGTTACTTACAGGAGCAGTGGTGAAAGCATGGTTTAAAATGCCATCATTTATTAGCCTTCTGTAGATGTAATTTGCAGCTTGAGTTATCCCCTAGAAGACAGTATTCGGTTAGAGACAAACGTAGTGTCCAGTTGGAAATGCAACACATATCTCTTTAAATGAAATCAAAACAGTACACAATATTCACACTCCTGATTGCAAAAATATGTGAGCCTCTAGTTAATTGTTTCAGTGCTCTGCTGACTTACGTACTGTCCCACAGTGGCACCTGAATGACTATACTGCACAATTAGGATTTTATTTCCTTTTTTTAATTTAAAGAGTTACAAGAAGCAAACAAAACACTAGAACAAATGAAACTCTGCAGAGAACAACACTGCCAACAAGTCACTCAGACAGCTTGCCTACTTCCATTTAACTGAAGAAATGTAGGATTAATTTATTTTTTTAATTGACTAAATAATTTCATATGGTTAAAGACAGCACATGCCTTATGTACAAAACCATTTTCCAGGACATCTTCAAGTGTCAGGTCTTCACAATCAGCTGACAGATCAGTGAGGATATCCTGCAAGTAAATGAGACAGATTCCTCATGCTACAGACATCTACATGGGAATTTTCATAGCCCTTGATGCGGTCTTTATTACAGAAAAACCCTCAAGCAAACTTGGAGTCTGCAAGTAATTGCACATAGAAAAAGAGATGCATGAATGTCTCTTACACACATCTAGAAACCCCTCCCAAAGTGCCATTTATAGCGCTAAATATACAAACAATACTCTGATAAAAGCTATGGTGCAAAATCTGGAATGCACTACAATACACCTCACACCATATTGACAATTACTTTTGCTCTTCTCCCACTTGCTCCTTAAAATGGTGTATAGGTTCTTAGGCATCCAAGGACAGGCTTATCACTTAAAATTATTTACTCCCCATCTCACTGCTGACAACTGCAAGTGTTTTTTTTCTTAATTCATTATGTCACTGTAGCACTATTTTGTCTAGCTACTACAAGGAAGTACACTGTCTCTTCCAAACCATCAGGACATAGCCATCTGCAGAGCCAGTTACATAACAGATGATACCTCAAAAGACAGGGTTCCTCTCACTGCAACCACAATAGCTTCTTTTTTGTGATCCAAAGCAACAAAAAATGGAATCTCGAAAATCTGTAGGGCAAAAAAAAAAAAATTAGGTGTGTTTAGCGAAGACACCAAATTTTCAAGAACAGTAAAAATTTACTGCAGCTTCCTGGAAAGAAATGAACAATGACATCATGAAATTCTATTTAGGCATATAAACTTTTAAGGAACTCAGGATTTTTAAGATCTATTTTACGTTATAATTAGGATCTTTATCATTCTTGTACAAGGTTACATGAGAACTTTTGCTATATGTTGTAAAGTCAGTCAGTACTGAAAAAAAACTCCATGTTAGTGATACTGTTAGCTAAACAAGCATCTGTATATGAGGCTGTGGGGTTATTTTTTAAAATGATTTTTAAAAACATTTTTGGTTAGTTGTAGGGATGTTAAATTTCAATTAATTGACTAATCGAATAGTCGATGCAAATTGCATTGACTATTAGATTAGTCGATAAGGGCACCTTTGCCTTTGAAGTGTATAAGCAGCCTGTTGCAACACTTCAAAAGGTGAAAGTGCTGCAGGGGGCATGGGGCCAGTCCTCCACTGGCCCTGTGCTCCTCACTGTGTTTCAAAGCTGCAGCATCACGTGCAGCCTGGGGTCAGCTGGGGACTCCCCCACTGGCTCCATACCCCCCACAGCGTTTCAAAGCAGTAGCGCTGCGTGGCGCCCTGGGTCAGCTGGGATCCCGAGCTCCACAGAGCACTGCCGCTTTAAACACAGTATGCAACGTGGGAACTGCACAGCTGGCCCTGGGCTGCATGCGGTGAATCAAAAAAGCAGCGCTGCGTGGAACCCGGGTTCTGGTCTGAGGCTTCACATGATGCTGCTGCTTTGAAGCACCCTCTTTTCTTCCCCATCCTTGCTGCCTCTGATAGAGACAGCAAGGGGGCAGGGAAATGACTAGCTGACTAGTGTGTTGACTATTTGATAAGCATTTGCTTATTGGACAGTCGACTAGTTGTTCACATCCCTAGTTAGTTGGGGCTTCTATTTTAGAACAGTGGAGAGCGAGGAGAGTAAAGCATCCTCTTCCTGGTTTCTAAGTGAACTCAAGAAGCTATTGAGAATTCTCTTGCTCAATGTTGGTTAGAAAGTTTACCTTGTTATGAAAGCTGATATGAATGAAATCTCTGTACTGGAGCCCTGTTATTTGTAGGATAGATCCAAAGTGAAAGTTAAGACGATCATCGCCAATTATATCAGATTCTGTTGGGCTGTTTCTGCAACTAAGGAAACACAGGAAAGAAAAGTGAACTTGCCAGTTCCAGCCAGTTACATTTCCTTTCAGATAAAGAATTCAACTACATTCATGGTAGGATTTCTATTGGGAGCACATTGGGTGTTTATTCTCAAAGACTGGCTAATACATCATTCCTACAAATCTAAACAAATAAACAAGGCAATTCCTAAGAAAAGTTTTAAAAAACTACATCCAAATGATAAAAATTATAAACTTGAAGAAAAATGTCAAGTAGAAAAACAATTATAGTTTTTGACCCATAACCACAATTTCAGCTATAAAATTCATTCAATTTCTCCTCAGTCTTTATTACTGACACATTTCAGGAGGATAATTAGCTTCATGACAATTAAAACTGGATGGAATATTCATTCCTAATGTCACAAAGAACAGAAGTGACTATATAAAATTACGCATGCCTTCTTAATATTAGCTGACTTATTTTGTAGGTTATGGTAGCTAGGAAGATCCCGGAATACTGGAAACAAGGTGGGTTAGACAACTTTTTCTGGGCCAACTTCAATGTTACTGAAGTCAGACATAGGAAACTTTGTCCTTTTGATGCACTTAGTGTAATTTCTAAATATGTCTATTTCTTTTGTTAATTTTGACATGGATACACAATGTTAAACAAAACATTAACATACAAAGCCATTTTATGGTGAGAGTTACTTATTATAGATTCTAATCCTGCACCTGTTGCAGTGCAGCTGGCTGCCTGTGCAGAGACCTTTTAACTTGCCTATACAGAGGCAATATCAGGATCTTTAACTACTGACTCAATAGAAGCAAACGGCTCCACTGTAAAGAGAGTCTTGCCTGATTCCACAAAATAGAAAAGAAACAATGTACTTCCATTTATTCACACTTGTCTAAGCAGAAGCATAAGGCAACAATCCACCCTTTTCTATTTACTTTGATTCCAACATCCCACGACTCCATTTTGAGGATTATCCATTCAACCCAATCAAATGCCTTATTAGATACTAAAATTGATCTGGCTGAATGAAGCCCAATAACTCTTTACATAGTTTAAAAGAAGCAAAAGATTGCAAACAATGGGGTTATACTCTTTATCTTGCATAGGCTGAGCTCACTGCATTCACTAGGGACTCCCTGAATTCCTCCACTCTACACCACAAAGCCTTATGTGCTTCCCTCCAGTCTCTATTTCAGTGACACTCTGAAGTTTTCCCATATTCCCCTCCATGCTAGCAGCTCTGTGTGGACCCCAATTCCCTCCATGCTAGGAGCTCAGTGAACCCTTTTCTCTCCATGCCCCAGCACTGGGAAGATGGGGAATCTTGATGTAATAGAGGGGGGCACACAATGTACCCCAATCTCTGCCTCACTAGAGGTTCTGTCCCTCCCCCTATTCTCTATGCTAGTGATCCTGGGTGCTTTCTACTCCATCCATACCAAGGTCCCTCAATTTTTACTTTATACCAGGATGTGTGCAGTCCCATTTTGCCTCCTATGCGAGGGATTGTGCACATTCCCAATCTCCCATGCCCCAATTTCCGCAAATCATTATTTGTCTGGGAGATAAGTCACTCAATATGCAAACATGCTAAACTCTATTAGGACAGGTAGAGTGGAGACAGAGGTAGTTTTATGCTGTAAGGTATTAAGGGGTGCCGTTAACCAACTGTTCAATTGATAGACAATTTCAGAGGTGTTCAAAGTTGTTGCTCTATGTCTCCCATCCCCCTTTCAGAGTTCCAACTTTATTAAAAAAAAAAAATCAGTAGGGTTCTGGACCAGTCATTGATGCCCATGAACATGCTCTGAACATTTGTAATTGGCAGTTTTTGAAAACTTATGTTCTAGCCAAACACAGAAATTCCATCAGGTTCAGTGTATGACTTGGTTTAGTTTGGCTACAGAAAACAGCTTGCCTACTCTTCCAGAACTGGAATTAGCATTTTGAAGCTTGGTTTTCTTTTATTCAATGTGTGAAAGACAACTCTAGCAGTCAAGCTCATGTATACTTATTAGTAGAAAGCAACTCTCATTTTGTCAAATTCTATTTAAGTGATCTCTACTTGTATGAAAAGCTAAATACTTAAAAAAATATGCACTTTCAAGATTTTATACCAACCTACCAGTCACCATTAAGCTTACAGAGTGCAGTAAATGGGTTAGTGTATATGTAGTAGGGCCATCCATAAGCAGCTGCAGCAAACTGCATGTAGTGAGCAGCATTTTCTAATTCGATATCCAAATCTTCAGTCTGGAAACAGGAGCGGGGGAGGGGAGGGGAAGAGGGGCAGAGAAAAAAAGTCACCAGTTGTACATGTAAGATAAGCCCAGGATAAAGTATGCAGATGCACACGCACACATGCTCCTGTAATATTGAGAGTTTAGCTCTCCCCATAGACAAATAGTCACGGCAATGAAGTTTATTCTTTTAGTTTTTCACTGCAAGTCCCAGGTAAGTGAAAACGAACATCTTAGAGGGAAGAGTTCACATCATATTCAACTTTCTTATTTCAGAAGAAAATGTAGGGTTTGTTAATAAAGCTGAAGTCTTGAAAATATTAATTATTTAAAGTAATTGTTCATTAGTAGTACCAAGTTTACATTTCACTACGCACTGATAAACAAGGTAGTGAATATTAAATTTTCATTCTAAAGGATGTTGGTGGATGGAAGGCTACAGATTGTAACAATTTTTTTCTTTGAATAGGACCCGTCATCAGCTGAATTCAAAAGGAATGATCTAGTCAACAGAGTGCATTTAAATTGCTTCAATTGAAGCAGAATCATTTATTTTGGTGGAAATGGTGCATTAGATGAGAAATTAAAGTTTATAAAAAGGTACAAGATAATTTACAGATTTTTCCCATTTTATTTTAAGACATTTAAGAGACATTTAGTGGAAGATCCCTGTATGAACAGTCACTCTTGATCAGCAAGCACTAAACAGTTACTATTTCTGCTTCTCATCCTATCTTGATATTGGTCACTTACAGTATACTTGTCTTTCAGATTATAAGAGCACATTCTTGGCTCTATGCACATAGCACTGGACTATCATCTTATTTTTGTACATATTCATGGTAATCCGAAAACTATAATTTTCACATATGCCTACTTCCCATTTCAAAGTTTAATTTAGGTGTTATTAATAAAAACATGATTGTGGTGTGGTATGTTTTTAAAGTGTCTATGGAATTTTCTCACCTAAATCACTTGGATGCTTTTGAAGATCCCACCTTATTTGTCCAGTTTTAGAATACACTTATTTATTTTTTTTAAAGTTTATAATCACTTTTCAGTCACTTTCACTTTCAGATTCTCATGTATTAGTAAAATATTGCAATGTTTTGATAGCAAACCTCAAAAGAGAATATTTATTGGACTACAGCATTTTCTATTTGAACTTAAAATACAGAATCTTAGTTTTTTTTAAAGTTCATTTTTACAAAAGTTGCATCTTCTTCAGTTTGACAGAACGCTATCCCTTAACAAGCTGTATCACAAAACTATTTTTGGAGCACATCTTACCACATGAGATAGCGGAGTATGACATAGGATTTCTTCAGGCTCTTTTGAGCAGTTTTCCACTTTATCTTGCTCTTGATGTAGCAGAGTCAAGCCTGCTGCTATGTCACTAGGTACCAGATCAGTGTCCTACCAAAAGAAATGGGGTAAAAAATGCTTTAAAAATAAATCTTCATCTTCAATGAACTGAAAATTAAAAAAAAAATTTTTTTTTGCAGTTCTATAGTAAATATATTTACATCAAAAAGACAGGCATGCTTGTGAAACATTCCTATTCAATGTTGCATTTTTTTACATGTTCTGCAAATAAACGCCACATACATAAATTCCAATGTAAAAATGAATGTTAAAAGGATCTCCTTTAAAAGGCCTGTGGAGCCCTAAAGCAAAATATGATCTGAATATGACTAATAATGGTCAAAATCAACTAAGAAAAAACCCATACACCTCCCTCTACAGCTACTATGCAATTTTGAAGGCGTGTCTATGCTGTTATCTGTGATATGTCAACAGCAAATACTCCTGCGCTGAACCTATGGTAAGCTACATAACATTTGCTTACAGATTTTTAGCAGTACTGTTAATACAACCATGCCATTTAGGGCTCAGTCCTGCAAAGTGGTAAGCATTACAGCCACAAATTAAGTTGATGTGAATTGAGGACACTCAGCACCTCATAGGATTGGGTTCTTAGGGCCCCCATGAAGATTATTCTGTCTATAAAGAAGCCACATTAAAAGGCCAGGGAGATTTTCATCACAAAGTTATTGTTCAAATTGATCCAACGTCAAGAGAGATCATTGGGAGGCTCTTAGCAGCTTATGTGAAATGAGACTGGCAAAATAAGCTAGATCATGAATAATAATCAGAAATATTGGCAGAAGGATCCCCCTTCTATTAGCCATGAGACTTGGGATTTAAGTTTGACTGCAATGAGAAGACTCAACCAAATCAGGATATGGGCACTTCCTTTTCTATCATGCATAAATTAAGGGTCCAGGTCCAGACAGGGAGAAGCTTTAATTCAGCTGCCCAGGAGGATTCCTCTTATCCAGGCTCTACTATTCTACAACCCACTAGCTAGGAGGCAGTTGTACAGCAACATGCAGACACTACTACTTCAAATGAATAAGAACCTCTCTCACCAACCTTGATTCTGAAATCCTAAGGCCACTGCTGGAGTCAGCTCTCCCACACAGTAGTACCGTGTGCTGGCAGTTGGATGAGCTTCTGACAGCATCCAAGAGACACTTTCCACTGTGTATGGGCCACTTTGGTGTAGTTCAGGATGAGAGAACTGCTTTTACATAACCTCCTTGTATGCTCTAGAGATACTAACATAGCTAAAATGTCTGCTGTTTGTCCCATTCCCTACTATGAGCAAAGGGAAAAATGGTAAACTCTGGATCCTCACATGCCCGGATTTAAAAACTCTCATTCTCCTGACTAGGGAACTGTCCGCCCCCCAAAAAAAGAGAAAGGGAACTGAACTACATCCCTATATTCTCACTGAGAAATCTAAACTCTCAATATAGACAAGTTCAATTAATACCACCAGACATTCTTAGAAAAGCATGAGAAAACTCCAGTAGATTAGGGTTTTTCTTGTAGTGAAGATGGTGGATGTGTTTGCACAAGGAAAAGTACCTTTTTAATGCAATCAAGAATGATATTACAATAAAGCAGTTTTACTGGTGAAAAAGTGGAGGCTAATTCACTATTGTGAAGCTATTGCCTATCTGTCTTCTGTGTCTGAAGTGCCAAGTGTGTCAAATCAAGTAGACTGAGAACAGTAGTTACTTCAGTACGTCACTTTTCCAAGTTTTAAGACTGTTTGCCTGTCTGTGCAACTTTCCCAGACCCTTCCCCCCCCCTTTAGGGCAATAGAGCCCCTGCTAAAAGGAGGGCAGTGTTGTGTAAGTTTTCTTTCAGAATTGAGCAGATGAGAATCAGATTTTTGATACCTAAGTAAATGGCACTGCTAAAGTCTCAGACAGAAAGGCAAGAGCCACATGTGAAAATACTGTAGTATGGATTCTTCAGTGTTTAGTCAAATGGAACGAAAACAACAAAAAACATCTTTCCATCTTACTGAGAAGTAGTCACGGAAAAGCTCTGCAATACTTGTAAAAGCCACTCGGTGATCATCATCTTGCATAATACAACAACACAGTAACCTGATTCTTGTCTCCCAGACTCTGGTTGCAGTCTTCTTGACATTATAAAACAATTGGCCTGACTGACTACTTTCCAAGTTGCGATTTATATTGTCAGCCAGGTATAGTGTCTTTTTCCCCCCAAGTGGATCAAAGACGATTAAAACAGCAACGACGGTGAAGATGATGATAACCCAGCTGCAAAACAGAAGGATGTGGAAGGAAAGGCTTGGTGAACCATGTACTCCTAAAGAGTATGCAGCTAGTTCTTGTCAGGTGGAAAAGAAAAATACAGATTATGGCATCTCACCAGCACACTCACTTACTGGTACTGATGATGCCTTTGTAATAGGGCCACCCACCAATTCACTAGGAATGCGACAGATTGCCAGCTCAATAAAATGCTAAACCACTACAATCATTCACCACTGACAGCTATTGTGAAACAGTTTTCAGAGAGGCAGCAGTCATGTTAGTCTGTTTCAGCCAAAACAACAAGGAGTCCAGTGGCACCCTAAACAATAACATTTATTAGGGCATAAGCTTTTGTGAGATCAACTCACTTCCAGCATCTGAGGAAGCGAGTTGTATCTCGCAAAAGCTTATGTTCTAATAAATGGGTTAGTGTTTAATATGTCATTGGACTCCTTGTTGGTTTTGCTTTGAAATAGCTACCTCAAGTTGTGGAAGGTTCCATATGCCATTACCACACTTAAGGAAAGTGCAAGGAACCTGCTTTCCATCAGGGGGTCATTGATTCATTGGTCAGGGGAGAGTATCAGTTACAGACCACACATAGTCTTGTGGGGTGTGAGCATGCACGTGAAGGCTCAGGGCATTCCACAGAATTTAGGGTGGGGCCTGAAATTAGAGGTTAAAAGTGCAGGAGGGGGCTCTGAGCTCTGGCAGTGAATGAGGAACATGAAGGGGATGCAGACTCCAGCTGGCTGTGTGAGCTCAGGGCTGGGGCAGATGGGGACAAGAGGCCTGGAGTGCAGGAGAGGCTAAGGGGGTTGGGATGCAGGAAGAGGGTGAAGGGCGCAGACTGGCAGCTTACCTCATGTGGCTCTCCAATGGTGGCAGAGCAGGCTCCATGCTTGCCCTGACCCTGCATTGCTCCCTGAAGTAGTCTGCACATGTGGCCACTAGGTGAAAGGGGCAGGCTGCTCTGTGAACTTCATGCTGCCTACACCTGCAGGTGCTATCACTGCAGCTCCCATTGGCCATGGTAGGGATGTTAAATTTAGATTAATCGGCTAATCAAATAGTCAATACAATTTGCATTGACTATTTGATTAGTTGATAAGGGCACCTCTGCCTTTGAAGTGTAGCCCAGGGCTGTTGCTACACTTGAAAGGTGAAAGCGCTGCAGGGAGCACAGGGCCAGCAGGGGACTCAAGCAGTCCACCACTAGCCCTGTGCTCCTTGCAGAGTTTCAAAGTAGCAGCGCTGCATGGAGCCCAGGGGGCTCCATGTGGCACTGCCACATTGAAATGCTGTGGAGAGCCTGGCATCAGGCTCCACTCAGCGTTTCAAATCGGCAAGGCCATGTGGAGCCCAGGGTCTGCCGCTTTGAAACGCTGCGTGTAGCCCAGGGCCAGCTGGGGACTGCCCAGATGGCTCTGGGCTGCACATGGCATTTCAAAGTGGCAGACATCGGGCTCCATGTAGTGCTGCTGCATTGAAGCACTCCTCCTTTTTGTTCCTTCTCACTTGCTGCCTCTGATAGGAGAGGAAGTGACTAGTGTGTCAATTATCCGATAAGCATTTGCTTGGATTGTTGACTAGTTGTTCACATCCCTAAGCCATGGTTGCTGGCCAACAGGAGCTGCAGAGTTGGGGCAGGAGCAGTGTGCAGAACTTCCCTGATCACCCCTTAATCTAGAGGTCAAGGGACAGGTTTGGGGTTTCTAGCCCATGACACAGACACAGTTTTAATGTTCACATAATTCAAGAAACTCCATTAATTTGAAACAAAAAACCAATTTTGAGCTGTCAAAAATCCTCACAAGTTTTTTAATACACAAATGCAAGCCCCTTTCCCTGCTGCATGCACAATACAAAGTAAATTTTGCTTATATCTTTACCTTGCAATAACTGTCCCAAATACGGCATTTACCACAGTCCTTTCACAACGTACATCAGTGTCTGATACCCATATCGCTCCCACAACTGCCCAGACCAATTCTGGGATATAAAGAGCTAGCCGAGTATAAAGCAGTTTAGGAAGAGATTTTCTTGGCCCAGGGTTAGAAATTGTTCCTGAAATTACAGATGGAATTTAAGTTACTTACCAATATATCTTATGTACATAAACTAGAATAAAATTGCATCAGTGTTTACAATATGGTTGCTAGAGTGAAATTTAAGTCAAATATATTAAAAAAAATACAACAAATCTCAGATTTTACAGGGAAGTTTTGAAGATGTGAAGCTATAGACCATGAAATGTCAGAACTGAGTGGTAAACATCTTATGCATTTTTCATTGTTTAAAACTAGAAATATTACTACAATTGTGCTTTCCCACCAGAATTTTTGTATCTGTTGTTGCACACATCTCATTTCCCAGAAGATATGTTTCGGCCTCAGCCAGATCATATAGGGTTCAATTCCACTCTCTAGGGCAGTGTTTCCCAACGAGGGTTCCACGGAACGCTGGAGTTCCGCAGAGCATCGTCAGGGGTTCTGTGAGAAATCGTGGAATAAATTTTTTTTTCTTAACAATGTAAGCTGACATTGTGTGTGCGCGCGCACGCACGCACACAGCTCAACAAATAGTGTCATCTACTCACCCGTGGCACAGAACCACTTGGCGAGCCCAGTATGTATGTGTGTGATGTGTGTGTGTGTATATATATAAAAATATAAATAAATAAATGCATGAATAAAACAGCTCTTTACAAATACATTTTCTTGACAATAATTTAGCAGTAATTGAATTGTGCTCCCTGTCGTCAACTTTTTCTGGCCAAGCAAACGTTTTCATAGGTTGGGGTTCCTCAGGATATTAAAAATTTTAGGGGTTCCTCCATAAGGTTAGGAATTACTGTTCTAGGGCCTAGACCAGGGGTAGGGAACCTTTTTTGGGTCGGGGACCAGACCCATAGAAAAATCAGGCAGGGGCTGCACACAAGTGAGAAGCAAAAATCCAAAACAAGCCTTCACTGGTGTGGCCCCCCAACTGAGAAGGAGAAAGATAGTCCCAACAGTCTCCTCATATAGCAGAGCCCTGGGGGGTGGGGGGTGGGGGGAAGAGTGCACGCAGGCTAGTAGATTTTAATATTGGAGGGGAGCTGGGAGCTGCATCCAGCCCCAGGGCCTGAGGTTCCTGACCTCTGGCCTTGACAAAGACTTCTACTATAGCTTCAGTTCAGCAGTACTGAGCCCCTAACAAACCCAAAGCTTTGCAAAAAGGTAATGCCGGCCTTCAGTTCTTTGGTACTCTGGATTTGAGCTTTGCTGCCTACATTCAGAATTCCTTACATTTATACAGAAGCAAAAAAAAAAAAAAAAAAAAATGCTTGCCATACTATACTGGCATAGAACCAGTATTTCTTATTTGCTGTTGCACCTTTAAAGATTTACAGGTTTATCCAGTCAAGAGATCAGAGTTAATCACTGATCTTTGTTCAGTCCTTTCTCAATGCCATCTTAGTTACAAGGGAAACATGATCACCATACAGGTTATTTTGCTTATCTTAATAATATAGTTACATACAAGAACACAAGATACAATCAGTTCAGGAGCATTCCCCATGCCCTGGTCAGAAGGCTGTTATTGCAATACTCCATTTTTTTGGTCAGAAGACCAGTTAAACAGTGTCCACCTAAACCAACTCAAAAAATCTCTGGAGTTAGCTAATGTCCTAATCTAGTCCCCTTCCTTTGGAATCAATCAAGTTGTCTGTGACGCTTTCACCTGCATAAGCATGGGACACAAAATGCACTCAAGTGTGTCAGTTTGCAATACTACCACTAATCCATGATGCAGCCTTATTTCATTATTTTTAGAATAAAATAAGGAGAATTTGGGTCTAGAAATGAAATAGTGTTCTAGAAAAAGTATAATCAAAATTTTTTAAAAAGTGGCATTTATCTTATGAAGAGAACCAAAGCTGTCAAGATTTCTAGTCTTTAAAATCTTATTATATTTTCTGTGAGTTACAAGAAAAGCTGCATGGCATCTCAGCCTAATTTATAAATACTTTTTATACAGTGAGATTATAAACTACAGAGATGTCACTGACAAAAAACTTGCTACCCAACAAAATGACGACGTAGTGAACTTCAGTTTTCACTCTAACGCTGCAAATACTGTCAAGCACACGATAGCTACATTAATTGAATATTTCATGCCACAAATGAGACTGCATGTAACTTGGCCTAACTGCTGCCCACTCATTTGATCTAAGCACATAAGTTAGCGAACAATAGAATAATGTTACTATTAGAAAGCACTTAAACTGTTTTTATTTGAGAGGAAGGGGAACAGTGTAGGAGTATTAATTGACTCCAAAGATACAAGAGACTTAATTATCTAGTCCATTTTTCCAGTTTTCTTATTACATATTTACTAGTTTTCTCTATTTTAGTTTTAGAGATGAGTAGCAGGATTTCCACCATGTCCCTTTGGAAATAATTCCCCCAATTAAAAACAATTCACTGTTAAGAAAGGGAAAACTTAAATTGGATTTCTGAGAACTCTTATTTGGCAATTCCTAGTTATATGACCTTTAATTATGCTGAACAATCCTTCAGCTTCCTTGATGTTTAAATACATATATTTATATACTAGAAGACAGGGATGTAAAATCCCTTTTAATTAGTTAACTGGTTAAATGTTAAATGTAACTGGTCAACTGATTAGATGGGAGTGGGTGGGGAGGACTGTTCCAGCCCAGCTATATCTGGCCCCATGCTGGTCTGCAGGGAGGGAGGGGAGAGGAGAGCTGCTACTTCCAATCCTGCACTAGACTACTGACTCCCAGCCCTCCATCTGCGGCAAGCCATAAGCTGCTCCTGGATAACAACCATTATCCGGTAAGCATAACCCATTAAGAGTGTGCTTACCGGGTAACTGGTTATTCATTTACATCCCAGAAGACTTGCCCAGTGCTGCTTGGATCCTTCAGGGCAGATTCTTGGGATACATACATATAATATATCCCAAAATCTTTCCTAAATTTATAGTTTGATTTTTATCTTTCATCAGATTAATTCCTCCAGATGCTTAAATATTTTAGCTGTTTTTCTAGAACTCTCGAGGATGGTCCAATGGTTAAGGCACTAACCTAGGACTTGTGGAGTAGGGATTTGTACCTGGGAATTCTAACACTTTGTGTGGCCTCAGGCACATCATAGCCTCTCTAAGATGTGGGTAATACTTCATTGGGTTGTTGAGAGGATAAATACACTAGAGATTGTGAAGCGCTCAAATACTATCATAACGGACGCATATAAAGTAGCCAAGACAGATGTTAGGAGGATTTATCCTTATTATAAAGAAGCTCCCAAACAAATCAATATACAAAGGAGCCATTACTGGTTCCTCTATGTCCCATGATAAGGTGTCTGCACATATGTTCCCATATATTAGTTTGCTTCCTACCTGAACTTGAAACTCTCCTTATTTACCAGACATAATTATTGAATTAATAAGACACTATATACTTTGTGCATAGCTTCCCCTGGAAGTCTATCTTTCCAGATCATTTATTACTGAACTAGTACATTGCTGGATGTGAAAGTAGCAGCATTGCTGAATCTAATTTGGGTCTAAGGAGATATTCTGAAGTCCCCTATTTTAAGTTGTCTCCAGGCTATGGTAAATTCTTAGCCTTAAATAACCAAATAGAGATATCAGAGAGAGTTTAATTTATATGTATTATTAGTATTAATGTTGATAAATGGTTACTATAAAACACATATTGCTGTCAGGGAACTCGAGTGTTTGTAAAGATGTTCTATTTTAATGTTAAATCTACATAAAATATACAGATCCTACTACTATAAATATAGCAGATTAAGTATTTACCTTGCATACTGACATACACAATAGTACATACAGCACATATTATGGCAGCCAGGAGAATGAGGAGGACAAGCAGGTAGCTGTGTAATAAGCCCCCTCCAGTACAGTTAAATTTCCCTTTGTGAACGGAGTAGAAAACAAGAATTCCAATCCACCTGCAGAAAAACAGTACCATAATTTTGTCACTTCTAGAAAGATACATACTTCACCACAAAGCTGATTTAAATATAATTCACAAGGGTAGTGCTTCCACAATGAAAAAAAATCACAGAATGTAAAAACTCCAGTATAATAGAGACAACAAATTCAGTAATCTCATCCTTTTTTATAGCCCCTTTCATTCATGTGGATCCCAGAGCATGTCAGTGATGGATGAAGTTTAAGTGATACAGCCATTTCTTGAAGTGGTAGCCACTGATTACTATGTAGTATGGCATTAATTTATATTAAGTCTCATTCTCCATATAAAAACCCAGGTTGTCAATACATGAAAGAGTTAAAAAAAATTCTCACTTCCATGAAACAAAATAACAAATGAACCAGATGGTCTCATGTCACATCTGAACAAATATTCAGAACAAACAAACCAACTCAGTAGCTTCCCAGACATGTTGATTTTTATAACAAGATAATCTACAGATATATAACAATTTCTTAAAAAGCCCAATGATTTCTCCAGTTAGCATGGAGGTTAACATACATTTAAAATTAAAACAATCCTAACATTCACATTATCCTTTACAAAGCATTAGAAGTCACTTGTCAATAGTCAATCAGCGGCTGAGCAGTTTTGCCTTTAGTCTGCTATCACCAGGAGCGAATGGCAACAGGCTGAATACCTCTGTTTGAATCTATCTGTTGTCTTTTGTCTTAAACACTATACACTCTTCAGGGCAAGAAATGGCTTTTTGTTCTATTTATACAATGCCTAACCTAATGGGATCCTGGTCCATAAGCTCTACAGCAATAAGGATAGGGCATCACAAATGTACACTGCATCTTTCATGGCAGACCATCTACCACCAATATTTTCCAGCTGCATGGTCCGACGAAGGTTGGAGAATGGTGGGAAATAAGGATGGGATATCTCTTACCAAATCACTCTGATGAAAAGCTCAAAGGCTCCCGGAAAAACAAAGTCATCACTAGCAATAGCCCAGCGTCTCCCAAATATCACCATTCCCGGCATCTTGAGGACTCTGCTGTGCCTGTCCCTCCTACAGGAAGCAATGTACAGTCAGTCACACATTCACCCACACCCTTTTTTCCACCCTCAGTAGAGCCTGCCTCCTACCCAAACTGGCCATTATACCCCAGAATAACAGGTAATCCTGTAGCACTTTAGAGCAGGGCTACTCAACTTTGGAAGCCCTGGGAGCCAATGATACTCTCAGCACATGCTGAGAGTTGCAACTTAAATGTGGTTACATATACAGGCAGTCCCCGGGTTACGTACAAGATAGGGACTGTAGGTTTGTTCTTAAGTTGAATCTGCATGTAAGTCGGAACTGGCGTCCAGATTCAGCCGCTGCTGAAACTGATCAGTTTCAGCAGCGGCTGAATCTGGACGCCAGTTCCGACTTACATGCAGATTCAACTTAAGAACAAACCTACAGTCCCTATCTTGTACGTAACCCGGGGACTGCCTGTATATGTAACCACATTTAAGTTGCAACTCTCAGCATGTGCTGAGAGTATCATTGGCTCCCAGGGCTTCCAAAGTTGAGTAGCCCTGCTCTAAAGTGCTACAGGATTACCTGTTATTCTGGGGTATAATGGCCAGTTTGGGTAGGAGGCAGGCTCTACTGAGGGTGGAAAAAAGGGTGTGGGTGAATGTGTGACTGACTGTACATTGCTTCCTGTAGGAGGGACAGGCACAGCAGAGTCCTCAAGATGCCGGGAATGGTGATATTTGGGAGACGCTGGGCTATTGCTAGTGATGACTTTGTTTTTCCGGGAGCCTTTGAGCTTTTCATCAGAGTGATTTGGTAAGAGATATCCCATCCTTATTTCCCACCATTCTCCAACCTTCGTCGGACCATGCAGCTGGAAAATATTGGTGGTAGATGGTCTGCCATGAAAGATGCAGTGTACATTTGTGATGCCCTATCCTTATTGCTGTAGAGCTTATGGACCAGGATCCCATTAGGTTAGGCATTGTATAAATAGAACAAAAAGCCATTTCTTGCCCTGAAGAGTGTATAGTGTTTAAGACAAAAGACAACAGATAGATTCAAACAGAGGTATTCAGCCTGTTGCCATTCGCTCCTGGTGATAGCAGACTAAAGGCAAAACTGCTCAGCCGCTGATTGACTATTGACAAGTGACTTCTAATGCTTTGTAAAGGATAATGTGAATGTTAGGATTGTTTTAATTTTAAATGTATGTTAACCTCCATGCTAACTGGAGAAATCATTGGGCTTTTTAAGAAATTGTTATATACCCCCGGTCTGCAGACCAGGGGGACGGGGGGGCAAAGCAGAGCCAAGCAGAGCCAAGCCTCGGAGCGCGTGGGCAGCGGACAGCCCTGTCTGCTGCCCACGTGTTCCGCCGCTTTGCTTCCTCTCCCTGGTCTGCTGGAGACCAGGGAGAGGAACGGCCCCGTTCGTAACTGCGGATCCGACGTAAGTCGGATCCGCGTAACTCGGGGACTGCCTGTACATGCAAATACCTTCTTTCACAAGGACAGACATGAATACAAAGATTAAGGGAAGACTACATAACACACAGGCCCCATTTACCGGTAAGTCAGTTCTGCGGATACTAATAAAATTCAATATTTACCCAATTTCCACCCATATGACAGCACATTTAACGAGCAACTACAGTCCAGGAATTTAACTACTAAAACGCATATCAACAGAAGACCATATTGACTACATTTCTGTTTTGTCTCCCACCTGTGGGCCATGTGTTGAACCCACATAAACCCAAACTGCACTGCGGGCCGCAAACAAACAAGCTGTGGGCCACATGTGGCCTGCATGTTGAGTAGCCCTTCCCCAGAGAGTAGAGAAAAAAAGGGAAAACCGCCCAATTTACTACAGAAAGAGAAGGAAGAGGGGGCAATGCCAAGGGCTCTATTTTTCAGTTATAAATTTGGAGGTTTTTCCTTTTTCTCTCAACTCTCATGCGAGGAAGAGGGGTTTTGCCCACAAAAGCTCATTATATGCATACGTACCTGTGTGTGTGTGTGTGAGACAGCGAGAGAGAATATTCCTCTCCACGGTGCTACAGACTACTTGTTTTTTCTTAAGTTACAGTCTAACGTAGCTACCCCTCTGAGACTGATATCCCAGGAAGTTTCTCTCCACCCACCTACCCCGTTCTTGCCCCCAAACCTGCCCATCAGGGCTGCCTCAAGGCCTGCCTCTTGCATCCCCCATATCCTGGAGCCTGACCCCAGGCCAGCCCGACCCCAGAAGGGCTGCTCCAAACCACTTCCCTGGCCTCAGGCCAGCCCCTCCCCCCAAAACACTTCAATGCCGACGCGCCCCCCCCCCCCCCCCCCCCACCACCCCTGCCACACCCTCAAAAAGCGACGCCCCCGCACCAGGAAGTCGCTCGCGCTTCTCCGCAGACAGAACGTCCCCAGCCCAGAAGCGATTACGTAAAAACAAGAGAACGTCATGACGCCACCACGCAGCGTAAGCCCTCGCAATCGCCCTGTGCACACATTCACCTTCTCCCGCCCAGCGCCTGTGCAGAGCTCAACGCTTCCCCCGCCCATTTCAAGATGAGACGCGTATGCGCAGGGCTTCTGGGAGTCCCCGCCGTTCGAGCGGCAGCACGCATGCGCAACGGACGCGAGGCTCGCTGACGCCTCACTCGCGTGGGTTTGAGTGCCTCAGAACGCCTCGCCTTAGTGTGTAGGCGCATGCGCACAACTCTAGCGTGCTTACAGGTGCTCCCTTCCACAGAGAGAGAGGCCTTGAGGTCACTGTAGTCTATATAGCCCAGGAGCTGCCTAGATGTACTAGCAGGCTCTGCCCCTTATGACACAGTGATATCCACACAGGGCACCTTGCTATCACCCCCCAAAGGGTGCCGTCTTTTAGCGAATATGCCCCCACCCAAATATACCCTGCGGTTTTTGCTTTTTGAGTTAAAAAAATCTTGTATACCCCACGCAGGAGTATAACCCGCGAGGTATACAAGGCTGTGCCGGGGGTATATTTATGGGGAGGGGGGGAATTAGCCAGCCACTCACTGCCTGATTCCTGCGCAGCTGCCAGCCTCCAGGTGGAGGAGCGCTCACTGCCCGGTTCCTGCACAGTTGGGTGAGCGCTCCCCCTGTCCCTTCCTACAGCTGTGGAGGAACCGGGCGGTGAGCGCGTCCTGGCCCAGAGGCTGGGGAGGGAACGGGGCGGGGGGGCCCCCCCACCC